ACCACAACTCCCAAAATTCCCATCCAGCAGGGCCATTGACTGGAAATTACGGGTAAGGCAGTCCAAATGTGTGTGGAAGGCACAAGTTTGGGGAAGGCAGCTTTAAAAGATCCAAATGGAAGTAAAACTTACCAGAAAGAAGACTATCTTACAAGGCCTCATTGTCAGTTAACTGGGGTGGGGCTTGATCAGGGAACTGGCTCACTTTTGGTTAGTTAGGAAATGGATTATCTAGAAGCTGATGGTAGCCATATAGAAAATCCATATTTAAAGTAGTAACAGTGGCCTTAACAGATGTCTTGGCCTATTTCTTTTTAATGAAACAACATTTATTTTTGTTTACTTCTCTGGCACCTCTGATTTGCTTTATCTCGGGCCTAATTATCAGGTGTATATGAAATAAAAGGGTGTAGCTTAATGGTAGCAGTGGACATGAAGGGAACGATTACCTGGTGGTAAGGCAGCGATTCTCCACATATGACGTAAGCAGTGGCATTCCCTAGAGGAGAAGATACCGCCGAGGCTAGGCTCTTCAAATCTATACGCAAACAACGTCCCCCATCTCCACACCCACATACATACGTGCACACTTTACTAAAGAGCAGTATAACTTTAAACTGGAATGTTTTTGCTCTCTGGCATTGCTGGCTACATTTCATTCTCCAGCCTCCCTCACCTATCTATTGTGAAATGAAATTCTTTTTTGCTTCAGCAGACAGGTAAAGAAGGCAAGAGGATAACTCTTACACTGGGCTTCAAAAGCTGCTTCCAGTTTACAGTTGTGAAATGCTTTTCAAACCCCCTAGTTCATGGCATAGGGCATCACAGGATTTAGTGTTGTGCTGACTTAGGACTGCTACCAAAAAGAAAGAAGAAAATGTAATGGTATTCACCTTATATTTTAGCATCACTTACTCCCAGCATCATGGTGAGTCAACATCATGGTGAGCATTTCCAAATCACACCCAGCAGAGAGCAGGGGTCAAAAATGTATAATAATGTTGTGATGTGCAGTAAATCATAAGATGTTTTACAGAAGCCAAAGGACAAACTCAGTATGAAAGTGTTATTTCCAGCAGCAGCCCTAGCTCTGTGCACATCACACATTTAAATGCCTTCACATGTTTGAGTGGGAGTGTTGCTGGTCCCGAACACTGCATGCTTCTTAGAGCCTCCCCCCACCCCACCCCACCCCACCCCCATGAGACCTACATGTTGATAATGGTCATTAAGGGCAAGGCAAGCTGAGGCACACAATGCCAGAACAAGGTGTTCAGCGTAGCTCGAGCCCTGCTTCCCAAACATCCCATGTGTGTGTAGGAGGGCTCCCCTGTCTGTTGCATCATGCAGCTGAGCCCTCGAAGAGGTGTTCCTCAGGACCAACTGCCCGGAGAGCTTTTGCTATTGGGTGGCATAGAAATCTAATCAAAGAAAAACAATCAATGACTAATGTAAAAATGGAAGAGCGGCTTTCTGAAGCACCTTTACAGGTATCAATTAATATGGGCAAAAATTAGGGTGGCATCGTAACCGACATACACTGCAGACAGCTGGGTGGTGACGCCATTAGCAAAGTTTGTCAGGCTTAATTGTTTAAAATACCTGCAATTGCATATTTTTACAGCACATTTACTTAGAAGTAAGTCTGTAATTCAGTAGAGCTGATTCTCAAAGTTTAGGATCAAAACCTTAAAGGATAAGATACGTATGGGCATGAAAATGTGCTTATATTTTATGCAATCATCATTAACATTGGCCATTAATTTCTTATGCTGAGACTTTAGAATATGCAATTACAGCAATACTCATTTAAGAGAATATGTGTTATAGAACTCTGCTACTGCTGGGAATGAGGAAGACAATTGCTCTTGGCATGCATTCTCAAGGCCTGATGATTGGAATTCAGAGGAAGAGGAGGAGAAAGAGCAGGGGGAGGCCTTGGAATGTGGGCCAATTCCAGACATTGAAATGAGAAAAGTGGAGATACTTATCTCAAGGCCAGACTCCCCAGAGGCTTGGGCAGCCTCTGAAAATAACCAAGATGCACAGTTATCAGGAGGGGGCCTGGAACAGGGGAGTTTCTCAGAGACAGATGAGACGGGTACGGCTCTCGACCCCATGAAGCAATGTCAGCAGAGAAGGACAGCCCAATGAGAGGATCAGCATCCAGAGAGGAGGCATGCCCACTTCCCAAGACCCTGCCTAAAAGGATGAAGCCCAAACATAACCATAAGGAGAGTTCCTGGAAACAAAATCTAGATTGGGTTTAAGAAACCGCTCTGCACAGACTCAGAGATTCATTCTGGGTTTTGTTTCTTCTGAAAAATGCTTTGGTCAATAAAGATAACGGGCAAGGGAACGGAGGGAGTTGAAGTTCCTATTGGATATATATACTTTGGATATATCATAGCATTTTGATACATTTTGTAAAGGAAAACAATGTTGGTACTTGTGGAGGAAGAGGTGCCAGAATGTTGCTAAGGTAAAAGGTTTTCCAAAACGTCCAGCAACCACTGCTAGCACTGAAGAACATGATGAAACTTATTACTGTATGAAGTGCCAGAACTTCTAAAACACAGAAATGGAGTCCAAAGGACATTCAGTACAGACTACACACAGTATTAGCAATATCTACAAGTCACACATCAAGCCACTCCAAATTTTGACAGATCAACAGTGGAGGCTTGTTCTCTTCCTCCTTTCCTCTCAGTTCTGTACCTAGAATTCCTCTGTCTTCAGCAGTGTTCTCTTCTTCTCCCCACTCCAACAGCTACCCTCTCTTTTTTTTGCTTGCTTTTTAGATGTTGTGTTTTGGAGCCTCAGAAGTACACAACTGGTGTCATACTTTTTATTATCTTTTCAGCCCCTGATAATTGCACAACTGTGCTCCTAATTTTTATGGTTTTTTCCATTTTTCCAGAAGAAACCCTGCTCTGATATATACAATCTTGTATGGTTTGGCTGCTACCAAGGAAGTGAAGCAGGTAACATGCAAGACAACTGAGACAGCATATATCCACACAGTTGCCATGGACCAGTTGCTTAGCTGTCAACTGAAAAGTATTAAAAAGGAACAAACGATGACTCTCTAAGAGGCAGCACAGGGAACTATCTCCACCTTGGCAATGGGATCTTCTTGCTTTTAATTGTTGAAATGACACTTGTCAATGTCCTCTACCTTTTCAACACTCCTCTGACTTACCAGTTACTCCAGAAAAGGGAGAGATTACCACCCCCACTTTTTCATGCTTCCTTTTTGGAGAATTACATTGTGGTTACTTTGGTATCCTAACATTTCAGAAACCCAACTCCTGAGAAATATACATAACATGAATTGCTGGAAAGTAAATGGAAGGCAAATTTGCTCACCTGAATGTGCTGTTGTATAACTGTAGCCATGCTAATTTACCTCCCAACTTTGCATGTTTTCTGAGAACCACAACACCCAAGTACTCTAAAACATGGGGTAAGTTAGTACCCCCATTTTCTACAGTAGTGAGAGAATCAAAGTGTTGAAAAGGTTGAAGCTACTGACAACTGTCAGTAAAAAGCAAGTGGATTACTTCAGTAAGGGGAAGGTACTGTCCCCGCCCCTTTTAATGAACTTTCTGTTACCACTTTTTGCCTTTTATTGGTGCTTTTCAGCCAACAGTCACTTGGCAACTGTGTATGAAGTAGATTATATGAAGTCTGCACATGTTAATTTTCATGTATATTTCCTCTTCCACTTTGCAGGTCCCTGTGATAGCTAGGCACTTGGACCCTGATAACTGTAGGCAAACTTTTCCTTGTCCTCCCTTGGACTTTTGAAACTAACAGTAAATTGACAAGGAAAATTACAAACTCAATTGTACAAACGGGATCCATTTTTTTAAATGTGAAGAATGAGTGACAGCCTTCCAAAATGCCATCTCATTATCAATGGAAGGGCAGTCACTGACAAGTTCACAATGGTGGATGGTCATGTTATACAAACAAGGTCAATGTATATGTAGATAAATTTCTTACACACCGTATTTATAATTCACCTGATCACATGGAATACCTATAGTCAATGCACCACAGATCATTACATGCCTTCATTACAGGCCTCTTTTTGTGTAACCAGGGAAGCCAATAGTTAACTTTTCTATAACTGCCGCTTAAAATGGATTTGAAAATTTATTCTGTCATCAAGGGATATATCAATGTTCCTTGGCTCTCTTAAAAGGAGATCTGTTGGGAAACTAATGAAAATGGCAGAAAAGCATGCATGGCGTTTTTTCATGTTTATTACAAGAAATAAATTCAAGTTTTATTTATTTGTTGTTGATCCATGTATTTTATGACTAACTCTTTCAAATACCCACGGTTAAGAATATTTGCCTACCATCCTGCAGGCTTTAGGTTTGAGTCTCACAATATCTTGGACTACAGAGACATCTCTAATCTTCTAGGAAATAGCTGGAACCCCCATAGGTTGTAAAAGTAAAACACTGCCTGAATAATTAGCAGTGTTTGCATTATTCCTGTATATATATATAATGGATCCTTGTCAAACCAACTGGATCCAGTATCTCTTGACTGATAGGTATTCAGTGAATATGACGCCATTCTCTTTATCAAGTTCATATAAGAAAAAGTATGTTTCAGTTTCCTTATATCTGTACATCATAAATTGCACTTCCTTTAAATTTCTTTTAAAAACAAAAAACACAACCTTTGTGATTGCAATAATATAATTTAGTTAACTAGATTTAGTTAATCCAACACAAAGACTGCAATACAGAAAGATTTGTATTGCTTTCCCAAGGTTTCTGTCTGCATTTTCTTGTATTGTAACAAACCCACGATGCCTCACTTAAAGTTACCTTTTGAATTCCTCTGAGTTTGAGAAGGAGCTTGTCATGCGGCACATGGCTTCAGGAAAAAAACTTTCCCCACCCTCTATAATATATAACTAAGAACTGTGATGTGCATTTACTGTTTAATACAAATGGACTGACAGCATACCAGTTCTGTGCTTGTCACCAATTGTTTATTGGAACTGGCAACTTTCACACTTTATAGTAACAGAACAACAGAAAAATAATGTTCACTATATACAGCCTTTGTCCAGACTACTTGACTATACACAAGGCATAGTAATCATGGCAATCTAGTCCCCATTGTCATCTGTGCACAAAAAGACACCATCCATCAGACATTATGTGAACATTACAGTGAAATGACATCACAAGTCCAGTGAAAATTCAGCATAATACAAAACATATCAATCTACTGCAAATGACATCCTTTAAAACAATAAGCATTTCTTCAGTAGTCATTTAGCCAGAGTCTGAAGCAGAGATGTGTTGTGTACTTATAAGTCTTTTAAGTGAAGCAACTTCTGCAGACAAATTTGCTATTCCTTGCTTCAAATACAAATTTTCTGTCTCGGACACTTTGTAGGAAGTGTCTTTAACATCAGCTGCTGCAGTTTTGCAGCCAATCTCATTTTTTTCAGTGAGTTCTTTCTGATGTTGCCAGTGTTCTGGCTTCAGAGACCAGTCTTGGATATTAGTCACTTGAACAGAGAAAGGAGTGTGAGAAGAATGTACCAAATCTTGTGCATTGTGCTTTTCAAGTTCAAAATGCCTTTTAGATGACATATCAATTGGCGATGACAGTTTCTGGGTAGCATCATACTCGTTTTCCAAAGTCTCCACTTTAATATGCATAGCCTTGGCTTTAATTCTAAGCTTGTGAGGCAGCGCTGAAGAGCTCACTTCTGGAACTTTAACTGTAGCATGAGTATTTTTAAGTTCAACGGGAGAATGGATTGGACCTTTAGGAACTTGCTGCTCATCTTCCCCATCTGATGACTTTCCTACAACACCATCATCTGCCTCTGATGTTCTTGGAGAATTGTTGGAGGATCGGTTAACTTGCAAAAGTGGAGGGGAATGTGAGTAACCACTGAAGTTGCTTCCAATGAAATTTGGATACATGGAGGTTGTATAGGAGCCTCTGTCATCTCTTGACTCTCTTGCATAGTTTTCCAACTCTATAGGCTCTTGCTTTATGAGATGGAATTTATTTTCAGGATTTCTGCAATTATTTTGTATAGGGCTTGCTTGAGTATTGTCTACGGATGATACTTCAGATACATCAGATAAAGAACTTTGAGGTGAGTGCTTAATGACAGATATACAACTACTGCCCACCATAGTGGGCTCATGTTCATCAATGAAAGTGTTAATACTTGATTTGGAATTCTGATACTCCTGAAAATAAACAGCCGTTGAATTGCTAAGCTTCTGAATCTCTTGGGCATATGCTGAAGAGCTAATTAAACCAAACTTTAGCTTCAGTGAAAGTAATTCAGCTTTTAAAGTGGTATTTTCTTCTCCCAGTGCAATTAGTTTGTTCTCCAACACAAGGTCATTCAGTCGTCGCTTTTCACGAGACCTTTTGGCAGCTTCGTTATTTTTTCGCCTTTTTTCCCAATACATTGCATCTTTCTTTTCATCAGGAATGAATTCCCTCTTTCTCCGGCATGTTGAAGACTTGGTTTTTACAATACCTCCTTCAGTGAGTAGCATTTCATCACCAGTAGCTAAGTCATCAGATACATCTGTTAATGTAGAATTAAGTACCAGAATTTTGCCTACATTGCTACTTGTATCAGCAGGTGCCTGTTCTGTTTTAATGGACTGCATTTTTCTCAGCTGCATCAGAAGCAATTTTTAGTAGGTGTGCAAATAGTAGCAGGGTAAATTAATCTTTGAGGCCTTCTTGAACCATAACAACTGGGTAAATACAATAATTTTAAATCCATAAGCATTCTTCTATTTATTCCATAGTCTCGGGCATCAAGCTCTCTTGATCAGATTTGCTTCTGAGTAGATTCAATTAGCAATCTTCTAAAAAACACCTGTGGCACACAAAAGAATAATAATTATTCAGTTATTGATTTTACTTTCCTCTTTTAAAAACATTTTCAAAGCATTGTGTACTCATTAACCTTGCAAACAAAGAAGGAAAAAGCATAAATCACTGAGCCACTTTACTTTATTGGTTATATTTTAATAAACAAACATAATAATTGCCTATTTAAAAGAACTGAAATGTTGTAAGAATAAGATACATGTCCTTTTGTAGTTTTGCAAGACAATGCTAAACTCTAGTCCTGCATAAGGATACACAAATTCAACTAATATTGCACTTCAAAATGCATTTACTAGAAACTGATTTATTTCAATTGTATTTTCTACAGATTTAATGTTTAGAATCAAGCCACAAATAGGTTGTTTATATTGTAAATCAAAACCAAATGCAGACGTAACTACTTGCTCCTTTCTCAATTACTATTTTGTGAAATATTTTGCAGAATTCAGACAATGTAAGACCCAAGTGCATCTCCTTTTAATATTTCTAGCTCTGAATTTGTGATAATAAAAAGTACCTTTCGGATGTGTTCTCAATGTTAGATTGTGCAATCCTGTACCAAATTAATTTACTACAAAGATACTTATATCTCCATTTCTTTTGCAATGTACAAGCAACCTGGTAATATATTACTATGAAGGACTTTTGGGGAAACAAAGAGTTCATGAACTTTTATCAGGAACTGCATCAAACATAATATAGGGCCACTCCGATGGAATAACAGTAGCTGTACTGTAGGGGAAGACTGGTTTCCTATTCCTCCAGCACAAGCTGCTGCTATGGGAAAGTACTTAGTTTGCTCTTAAGTGGCAGTGGATACACGGCAGAGTAAAGTGCCACCAAACAGAACTGGAGATGGGGCACTCCGGATGGCAGTCTGGGATACTCATAGATGTGCTGGGTGCTGCTGACCTGAATTAGCAATGCCATCTCCATTACTAGCTCATGATACCTACTAAAGGTTTTGAGTCCCCGTCCATTTGAGGCTCTATATTCAGTGGTGGTCTCCTACCAACCTTGCAGTTCGAAAGCATGCAAATGCAAGTAGATGAAAAGGTACCACTTCGGTGGGCAGGTAACAGCGTTCCGTGCACTTTGGTGTTTAGTCATGCTGGCCACATGGCCATGGAGACTGTCTGCGGACAAACGCTGGCTCCCTCAGCTAGGAAACGGAGATGAGCACCGCCCCCTAGAGTCAGGCAGGACTGGACTTAACATCAAGGGGAAACCTTTACCTTTACTTTATTCAATGGTGGTAGCTAATAGCTACTCTCTGTAGACCTCTCTGAACATTATTTTGTGCGATTACATATATCAGAAGGGAACACAATTCACTCATTTTCCCCAATTTGTTCAAAATAGGTCAGTCTTCCTGCACACTAACAACCTTGAGCAAGTGTTAAGTAAAGAATTTCTAAGAGCATAGTGGCCCATCTGACTATAGAGCATATCTTTTCAAAGGGCAAGTAAGTAAGGCAAAGTTCTCAAGGATCACCTTTAAAAAATCCTCTTTTCATATGCTTTGGCGAGACAAAATATGAATATAAAACTGCCTTTAAAAGCCAAGTTATCTGAAAATATCTTGGAATCAATATGCTGGTTTTGTACATTAATATTATAGTTATCTTGTAAAATGTAGTCATCTTTAATGCCAGGTTTGCATCATGTCAAAAGGTTATGCTTTCCACTCCAAATTAGTTCCTATACTGTATAATGAACACTTAGCATCCTTTCTTTTGTGACCTTTCGAGTTCTTGCTACACTGTCAAACAACTATGTCAGTATCCTTTCATAGGGTATATATAATCCTAATAAGATTTAGTCACTTCCATTATGTCCTCCTCTCCTGTATTTCATGTCCTTATTATATTAATTCATTTTCCACCGGAAAACTTTAAATAGGACTGTGACATCACCAAAGGTCTCAATGATTAAGCAAGTTTGCTTAACTGGGGTCAGTTTGCTTGTCTGCTGATTCATCATTTCCATGGATACAAGCTACATGTCCACTGCCAACTGACTCATAGAGGTTTTCTAGAAATCTGGTCTGTTAATTCCATTCATGTGCATGGAAGATAAGGCATCATAGAGTCCTGCTCCTCTCCCACCCCTCCACTCTATCCTCAACATAGGTATGGCCTCGTGTGCAGTCAGAATGCCAAACTGTCACAGGAAACAAGACCTGTGACCGTCTCCCATAGCCTCCTGCATTTGGCCAACTGAAGGAATGCTCCTCCAATATATAATTATAATTCCATATGAGATGCCATGCATAAGGGATGGCATATAAAAGTTTTAAATAAAAAAATATGGGACCTGAACTTTGACTCGCAGTCTATTTCAGATTTTCCCGGAAACAATGAGCATACAGAGAGAATACTAAGTAGGGAAAGTGACAACTGCATCTGAATAAGTAAGGATTGCACTTTAAATATTTTACCCTGGTTTATGTTTTTTAGCATTTTAAATTAAGATGGCTCACTAGAAAGAATGCTATTTTCTGTTATGTTTTACTGATGCAAATTTATGTTCTGCTTTCCTAAATAAACAATACTTTTGTTACTTTTTGCCTCTTGCTTCCATACCAAAATTTTCGCCCAGCTTTTTGGGTTGCTTTGAAACATTTTATCCTAATATAGGAGGGTAAAATGGCTATTTGGAAAGTCAGAAAAACTATGAGATATATGCATAACGACAACCCACAATTCCACAACAACCCCACAACTTAATTACATTCTATACTAAGTCAATATGCCATCATTTGTGAACCAGGCCATTGTAATAAATATTCTCATTTTCAAATAGCAATCTTTACTACAGAAACCTAATAGTTTGAAACCTAGGTTCCCAAGGACGGTTTCAACACTCTTGTTCATCAACTCAACCAGCTCTGTATTATGCCTACCAAATAATGTTATGTTTGGGTTAAAAAGTAGCTTTCAACAGCCCACATTTTCTCTGTTTTCATTTTCATCAGCTTCATCAACACCTAAGCATGCACAGGATGCATAAATCATTTCTTCTGAAATTAATATCAAAGGAAAATAATGCAACATACTAAGTAAGGTTAGCTCATTTTAATGAAAATAACATTCCATTAATCGCAATTGCTGATATCATCTCCAAATCATTGTTATTACAATGCTGTTCAGTTATTTTCCATACCTGAGAAGATGTTCAAATTAAAAGTGATGGAAAGATCTAAGTTTGGACCAAGAAAAACACTCTAACGCTCACTGCCCACTGCAAAAGTACTCCAAAGTATGGAGCAATCCAAAACAGTCTGCCCTCACCCAATTGTACACTTTTACCATTATTATACTGCATTTGCATTTATCTTGTCAGGCCCGTTCCACCAGGTGAAAGACAGTGTACACCATGCCTTAAGCACACAATGGTTCAACCCTGAAACTTAACTGTTGCCAATAAACTGAATATACATGGAGGCTTAGGCAATGAGGGACTATGACATGAGGCCTCTGCTTAGAAAGATGACCTTTCTCAGATGCAGTATGATCAGCATGTCAGTGGCAAACTGTGTAGAGTCCCTTTGGTAAGGCATGACTACATCAGCTTTCTATTAAAGGCCTCTCTTGATTCCCCTCCACTCACAAAGGGGACAAGTCAGCAATGACTGGTACCATTATATGCAGATGTTATCTGAATCTGACTTTAATATTAAATATGACATTTAATCTAATTAATCCCATATTTATGCAAATTTTACTGCCATAGTAAAATAATGATGTGCATATATAAAGTTAATAATGAAGAAGGGAAACACATTATAATAAGGAAATCCATATTCCACACTGCTTCAGGTAGAAGTAGCTTGAGAATGTGTAGACTGCATGCTTTGCTTCAAAGACTGAAGCACCTATATGTTACGCTCAATTTATAAGAAGGAAATGGTATAAGAAGTGCCACTTCCTTTGTCAATGTAAAATGTGTTCTTGAGGTCAGAACTGGATTAATTCTCTGATAACAATACTTACACCACCCACAAAAGTACCGTGGTTTTGTTTCTCACACTGTTTTTGAAAGGGTCACTATTAATATATGCTTTTGGTAAACCATCAAAACTGCAAAAGTACAATTGCCTTATCAGTGTCTATCTTGCACAGTTTATTACCCAGAAGTTATTTTTATGATAACAAAGCCCTTCTTGTTTATTCGTTTACATGTTCTCCCTATTTGTACCTGGATTCTTTTACAGTCATTGCAGATATTATGTAAATCAGACTTTAATATGGTACCCAATCTTACTTATCTGCAGTTATTTTATTGCCATAGTATCATACTGATAGTTGTGTAGAAATCTAGTAATGTAGAAGGGAAACATAGGATGATGATCCTGAAATCAATTTTTCACGCTATTTCAGATTTCAGATGTTAGACTGCATGCTTGTTTCAAAGACAGAAGGACCTTTTGCTATGCTGTACCTTTAAAAATATAATTTAGGTGAAGGAAATGGTAGATGAACTGCCATTTCCTTGTTAATGTAAAATGTATTCTTGTGGTCAGAACTGGACTAATTTTGTGATAAGAAACCTAGTATGTCCAAAGAAATTGGAGCTCAGCTACTCAATGTGGACGGCAAAATGGTAACACATAAAAAAGAAAAGGCAGAAGTGCTTTCTTACTTTGGCTCAGTCTTCTCTCAAAAGTTCTATGATGTTCCTGATGAAGGGGAGGTAAATGCTGAAGGAGCAGGATGGCAGCTCAAGATTTATGGTCAAGGACAATCTAATTGGTGGAATGAGTTCAAAGCTCCAAGACCCAATGAACTTCATCCTAGAGTCATAAAGGAACTGGCAGAAGAACTCTCAGAACCACTGTCTACTATCTTTGAGAAATCATGGAGGACAAGGCAAGTGCCAGATGACTGGTGAAGCACTAATGATGTCCTATCTTTGAGAAAGGAAAAAAAGAACAACCTAGGAACTACAGACCAGTCAGTGTGACATCAGTCCCTAGGAAAATTC